CAAACAGACAAACAGAAAACATAAGAAAGACCACGTGGGGCACAGCCGAGTCACCGCGGCTGAGGCCGTCTCAGAGCAGCCAGCCCCAGCCCCCAGCCACCCTGATGGCTGGCCCCTGAGTGAGCTCAGCAGCCTGCAACCAGTCAAGCTCAGCCCGGGTCAGCGGAGCCACAGAGATGAACCAGAATCTGGGGAGAAATAGTTTTTTTTAAAGCCATTATATGTTGGGGGGCGGGGTTTGTTACGCAGCACATAGCTAACCGATACAGGTGGCATGGGAAAAGGGACGCTTGCATTGGATTTTGGAGAACAGGTACGAGCTCTCCCGGTGGGGAAGAAACAAGCACTGTGGGTGCGGCACCTTCAGGCAGCAATGTGCTGCTGGTGAGTGTTTAATGCCCATTTCTCCACATGTCGTTCTGACGTGAGTGTTGGCCGATGTTTTAATTTTTGTTAATGAGTGACACGCTTTTCTCATGAAGGGCCGAGCAGTACACGTTTTCGGCTTTGGGGGCCACACACTCTCCATCGCAATGACTCAACTCCGCTGTGGTGGTGCAAAATGCCCCAGGGTGATAAGCAAATGAATGAGTGTGGCTGTGTTGCGATACATCTTTATTTACAAAGAAAGGCGGTGGGCCGGATTTGGCTTGTAGTGTGCTGATCCCTCGTCTAGATGAACAAAAAAGCGATAAATCAATCTCTGACTTACAGTGTTCGTTGATTTGTAGTGTAACTCCGCCCACCGTGGCTGATGCCCACCACCAGTGTGAAGTCACCGAACACTGTTTGGGTGAAACATGCAGCACACGATTCTACAAGACTTCCACCAGACACATACCATGGATACAGATATCCTTAAGAGTATGAATAATAATAGTCCTGGCTGGTGTGGCTCAGTGGATTGACTGCCGGACTGCAAAGCAAAGGGTGGCCAGATCAATTCCCAGTCAGGGCACACACCTGGGTTGCGGGCCAGGTCCCCGGTAGGGGGCATGTGAGAGGCAACCACACATGGATGTTTCTTTCCCCCTTTCTCCCTCCCTTCCCCTCTCTAAAAATAAATAAAATCTTTTAAAAAAATGCAGTCTGCCTACAGAGAGGAGACTGCGTTTGCCGTGGGGAGCCTGAGGCAGGTAGGCAGGTGAGGGGGCTGTTGATGTAACCAGTACAAAGAGAACGAAGTTTCTCTTTGGAAAGAAACTCCAAAGGCTTGGACAAAGAAGACAAAGATGTGGTGGGGAAGGAGGGGAGATGCCAGTTATTCGGGAGTCAGAACGTCCGGGACATCGTGACAGGCAGGTGGCGCTGTGCAAAGGCTGAGGGAGACGTTGAAGAGACCAAGGACCAGGGCCTGAGTGTCCGCGGGAACCGGCGCCAGCCCCTGAAACTGAGAGCACGGGAGGAGCTGGTCTGGGCAGAAGATGAGCCGCTTGGTTTCGAACATGGTGCGTCTGATGAGCCTGGGGACACCCACTGGGAAGGGAGCCCCAGGCCAGAGACAAAGCCGGGACAGAGGGCCAGGGTCTGGCCTCTCGTGGCTCCAGCTCCTGGGAGTGTCCTCACTCCTGCCTCTGGCCTGGCCCTGGGTCACCACCTGTGGAAGCCGCATCCCCTCTCTGGGACTCAGTCCCCGCATTCGTAATGGGGTATCAGGCCCTGACTCCCATGCCCCGCCTGCATGTTGTGAAAATCCCATGAGATCGGGGCGGGCGTGGAGGAGGCCCTTCCTGTCCTGTGCTTTGCCCGCCGGAGCGTGGCAGGAACTCCTGGGGTGGAGAGGCAGGGCTGGCTGGGGTGCTCGGATCCCTGCAGTCCTGCTGGTTCACAGGAGCGAATCTCAGGCTTATGAGGCGGAGGAAGGGGCTGCCACGGGGGGATGTGATCCCCCCATCACATCCCCTCCCCTCGGGCGCTCCTGCCCTCCGGTGCCCTTTCCAGTCCACCAGCACCTCCTGGGCAGCTGCCCAATGCAGGTGGCAGACGGCCAGCTTCCTCTGCCTGTGCCCCCGCCTTCCTTACCTCTGCCCCTTCCTCCCACTCCCGGGGTGGGGGTGCTCATCTCAGGGGGCTCTTTGAGAAGGAGCCGGTAGGGGTTGCTGGGTGTGTGTGAGGGGGGTGGGGTGGGGGGGATGGGACGGACGGCGACAATGTGTCCCTGTGGTGGACACGGGCTCGGGAGCCCGAGCGCTCTGCTTTCTGTCCCAGAGCAGCTTCTTCCAGCCGGTGAGCCTGGGCACGTCGGCTTTTTTGTATCTCAGTTTGCCCTTCTGTGACAGAGGTACAAGAGTAATCCCCATGTCACCAGGGCGTTGTAAGAACCCAGTATATTAAAGTACATAAAGCACGGAGAAAAGCGCCAAGCACATGGTGAGTGCTCGCCCAGTACATGTCTCCTCTCCTGAGCGTGCCTCCTCTCAGCGGCACCCGTGCTGTATCCAAGGCCTCGCTCCTGCCGACTCAGTGACCTCCCCCTTCCTGTGCAACAGAGGTCCCTACCTCGGGTGCTGCTGTGTCAGGAGTGGGTTACAGATGGGCTGTGGTGGCGACCCCCTCCGCTCTGGGGACAGCCTGGCTTCCCCTGCTGGTCACCTCGGCCATTCTGTTGACTGCAGTGTCCCATGCAGAACAATCTGAACTCGGAAGCGTGATGATCAAGGCCTTCCATAACCCGGCGTTGGCGCCTGTCTGGAGTACCCTCCCATGTCCCTGTTCTCTGCTGACACCTCTCTCCTGCAGAGGCTCAGCTCAGGCAGATGCGCCTGCCCTCCTCTTCACTCCCACCGCTCTGCCCGTCCTCCCAAAACCATCACCAGCAAGGCCCCGCCTGCCCGTGCAGCGCCTCAGGGCGAACCGGGAACAGGTACCCTTACCTCAAAATGCCTTCTTCTACCTGCCGGAAGGCTCTAGGGACGGATGTGCCAACCCGTTAACATCTACAACGTGGAGGGTGTTGGGCCTGGGGGAGCCCTGACAACACCGGTGCCTCGGGGACACCTCCATGGGCCACGCACTGTGCTGGGTGCCTTATGTCAAATACTGCTCATTCCCCAGGGGGCAATCATCACTTCGAAGGTGAGCAAAGTGAGGCTCGGAGGCTGAGACCAAGGCCAGGTGAGCGGTAGGTGGCAGAGCCAGGGTGTGAACCCCGAAGCCTCTGAGGTAATCACCTCCATTAGAGTTGCCACCTTGGTTGCTACTTACACGCCTGCCCGAGACGGTAGCGGGAGCTCCCCCAGGCAGGGGCCGCGTCTCCCCCACTGCCGAAGCCCCGGAAACACGACGCAGAGCGGGCACGGGGTGAGCGGCACCACGTGTGTGTGGACGGGAGGAGCCTCTCTGCAGGGCATCGGGGTCCCGGGGGCTGTTCCCCTGAGGGGTGGCTGAAGCCGGAGAGGTTTGGACCAAGGCGTCCCAGAGACCCCTTTCAGCCGCCAAAGGCTAACGTTTAGCACAGTGACTGCTCGGGGTCTGTGCTTGCTGCCACGTCGGAGAAACCGTCTCCCAGGCACTGTTGGTCCCAGGGAGCCCCTCATCCAGGTCTCCTGAGCCCAGAGGCGGGCTCTCTGCTGAGAGGCGCGGGTTTGAGAAGGAGAGTCCACCCACCCGAGGGGGGGTGGCGGGACAGGCCTATCGGGGCAAATCTGAAAGCCGAGTTTCCCAGGGGGATCCAGAGCAAGGGGAAGGGTGTTCCTGGCAAACACATGACGGGAGGCCAGGGCTGGAGACGGGGAGACGGGGGTGGGGTGGGGGCTGGAGGTGGGGGTGGGAGTGGCAGACAGACAGACACCTTCTTGGCCCGGGGCCCCAGCACGCTTGTCTTTGGGTAGGTGACTTGGAGTCGAGTGCAATATTTTACTGCAGTTTAATGCTGGAAGCCTGATTGTACATTTGCCTGTCTGTAGTTACTGCCTTACTTGCCTTTCCAGAGCTCCACTGCTACAAAGCGGGGTGCTGTCCACACAGCCCCCTTTCAAGCCCAGGGTGTGTCATACAATCTGTCCACCAGCCGCTGCGAGCTCCGTGGCCCGAGCAGGCCAACGACGGTCTCCGTGGGAAATGGAGAGGAGCTGCTAGCACCGCCTCGGCGTCCCCGCTCGCCCTTCTTCTGGGGCAAGGCCCGGGTCAGCCTGGCCTGGGACAGGCGAACTTCTCCCTTCGAGTGGCCCAGTGGCAGCACCCAGGAGCACAGACTCCAAAGCTGTACTGTCTGGGATTGGATCCTGGGGGCCGCTTTCTAGCCGTGTGACCTCTCCGAGGTTCAGCTCCCTCACCCATAGAACGGTGCCTGTCTCCTGGGGGAAGGTATAGACGCCCCTTGCACGAGCGGCTGGCACACAGCAGACCACGCCAGCTTTGCTCACGTGTCTGGGTAGGTCCATGTAGCTGTACGTTGTAAAGAAGAAAAGAAAGTGACAGGAAACGTCCTGATTCTCTGCTGGTCTTCAGAGACAGAGAGAGCTTTGCTCTGCCAGAGGACAGTAGAGGCAGGGAATGGCCCTCCTTTGGGTCGGGATTGCCGCCTCCATGCAGGAAGAAGGCCAGGGGTGAAGTTGGTGATGCAAAAAGGGGAGGAACCACGCGGAGTCCCGCACCTCCTCCCGTGGAATGAGCCCTCCCCCCACCCCTCTGCCTGAGCCCTGTCCGAGGAGCTGCTGTTCCGCTCTGACCTCCCGAGGTCCCTAGGTCCCTCCTCTGTGTCCTTCTGTCCCGTGTGAGCTCCAGGAGGAAGGAGAAAGGCCCCTAGCTGCCTTGGTCCCCGGGTCCCAGGTTACAGAGATGGTGCTCGAAAAAGGTTGCTGAATGGAATGAAAATAATGTCGATTCTCTTGAAGGGAATGAATGGGGCTGAGGCGGCTCAGTCCATCCAGGTTGAGCTTCTGCGAAGAGCAGTGGAGGGTCCCCCCCCCCCCGCCCCTTATAGTGCCCACAGCCGTTCCTGGGCACCTGGCTCATCCTCAAATGTGGGGCATCTGGCTTCCAATGAATGACACACAGCCTGCACATCTTAAGGATATTTTATTTAAAAAACAAAAACCAACAAAAAGCCCAACCCAAGAACTCTTGGTTCTGGGAGTCTGGGAGCAGCTTAGGTCTGTGGTGAGGGTGGAACCTGGAAGACAGGTGGTGTGGGGGCCTCTGACCCTGTGAAGAAGAGCAAGAGCCCCCGGAGGCTGGCAGGCAGAGCCCCCCTCTGCGGCCTGCGCTCATTCGCTGGGAAAAGACCCAGAGAAAGGCAAACTAGACAGTTCTGGACAGGCCCGAGACCGCCTGGAAAAGTCGCCAGCCAGTTAGGAAGCAGGACAGGATGGCCCGGGCCTCAGTCGGGCCTATCCGCACCCTCCCGGGTGGCAGGGTTCAGCCCACCCCAGGGAGGCGGGCTCAGATAGGGAGACGCACCCCCAAGGACGGCGTGAGGCTTAAGCCTTTCGGAAGTTGGGGCCCAAATGAGGCAGAACCTGGAGGCAGCCCCAGGCCAGACTCCAGGAGCTCAGTGGCCTTGGGGAATGCGGGGCAGTGCCCGGATGGGCCGAGGCGGTGGGGGATTGTCCAGGACCGGTTCGGGCCGGGCCCGAACACCAACCCGGCGCTTCTGCTTGCGCAGCAGGTAGTTGGAGTACTGTACTTCGGGCATGGCCAGCTTGAGGCAGGCCTCAGTGGCCGGGCCGGCAACACCGCTGGGCAGGTCGTAGCCCATGATGTCCACCTTGCGGCTGGGCTGCCAGGGCTGCAGCTGCTTGGTGCGGATCTGCGCGGCGGGCCGTAGCACGGGCTCCTCGCCGAAGCAGCTCCGCAGCAGGCGCTCCCGGGCCTCACGCAGCTCCCGCGCCTCGCGCTCCACGCAGGCACGGCCAGCATGCGCCACGCGGCGCCAGAAGGTGGCGTTGAAGTGGTCGTAGAGGCCCGCGTCGAGCGCGTTCCAGGCGCGTGCGGCCTGCGCCAGAGACGCGGGGATGCTGGCCAGGCGCGAGCTGGCCGCGCGCGCGTTGAGCTTGGCGTAGAGCACGTCCTCCAGGTCCCAGGCCAGGAGCCGCCGCAGCAGCACGAGCGACTCGTCGAAGTACTCGGCGATCATGACCAGCGAGAAGACTTCCTCCACCTGGCGGATGAGGCCCGCCAAGTAGGCGGCGTCCTCACGCGGGCTGCGCTCATTGTCGCCGCCCAGGTCGTAGGCCAGCGTGTTGTGCGCGAACATGGCGAAGTGCTCGCCCGCGCGGTAGTAGGTCTCGGGCGCGTGCAAGAAGGCCTCGAGCGACGCGTTGGGCACGCGCCGGAAGGCGGGGCAGTACTGGTTGTAGTAGCTGAAGAGCGACTCGAACATGGCAGCCGGCTCGCGCAGGATGGTGACGTAGACGGTGCCCGGTGGCATGAGGCGCTCGAGCTCCGCCCGGTCGAAGCGCAGGTGGCTGGCCAGCACGTGCGGCAGGCGCGTGGCCGGGTGCACGAAGTGCGCCGAGAAGTTTCGCGGATAGCAGAACTGGTGCTCGCAGGTCGGGTGCGGCAGGGCCACCGTCAGGTTGTGGCGCTCCGCGAAGCGGAACAGGATGTTCTGCACCGTAGTGCCCGCAGTCTTATGTGTCTTCAGGAAGGCCACGGTCATGTGCTTGGGGCGCGGCGGCGAGTCCCGCAGAGGCGGGCAACTCAGAGGGAACAGCTTGGGGTACCTGCAGGATCCAGGGAGGGGTGCAGGGAGGAGGGTGTAAGAGGTGTAGCAGGACTTCTGCCCCTCCCCAAGGACTGTGGGGTGGGCCACAGAGCGGCTTATTTTGGGCTTTACCCACAGAGCAGTGGAGGGGCATGGAAGGCGGCCTCTAAGATGACCCACGTGATCCCTGCTGGCCTCCTGGTATTCATGCTCTTGTGTATTTCCTTCCCCTTGAGTGTGGGCGGGACTTATTGATGGCTCTAGGGAATAGAATGGGGCAGAAATGATGGGTGTCACTTGTGAGATTGTGGTACAGAAAGGCTATGGCTTTTATGTTGGTGTCTTTCTCTAAGAAAACTCATGCAGAAGGGACAGCAAGCCGCCGTCCTGTGAGCAGCCCTGCGGGGAGGCACCATGGGGCAACAACTCCCAAGGACCTGGGCCTGCCTTCAGTCCATCCCCCTACTCAGGCCTGCGAACAACCGGAGAGTGAGCTTGGAAGGGGGCCTTCCCATCAGACCTGCAGAGGGCGCTGCAGCCTCGTTAGCAGACCTCCAGCCACAGGCACCCGGCTGAGCCCCGCTGGGATTCCTGATCCGCGGAAGTGAGGTCATACGTGTTTGATACGCGCAGCTGCTAAGTTTTGAGGCCGTTCGGTTACACAGAAATAGGTCATTAATACAGGGCCAGTGGCTCCTGGAGATCCTTGAGGAATTCTGCTCTGCGGGTGCAGAGAGCGAAGACCAGAAGGAAAAGACTCATTTACAGAAGTCTGGCAACTCAGATAAAGTCACCAAATGCTCTTGCTATCTGTGTTCTTTTTCTTTTAAAGATTTTATTTATTTATTTTTAGAGAGGGAGGGAGGAAGGAAGGGAGAGAGGAACATCCATGTGTGGTTGCCTCTTGAGTGCCTCCTACTGGGGACCTGGCCACAACCCAGCCATGTGCCCTGACTGGGAATCAAACCCGTGACCTTTTGGTTTGCAGGCGGGAGCTCAGCCCACTGAGCCACACCAGCCAGGGCTCTGTTTCCTTGTTCATGTTTACTTTGCCTCCGGCTCCCCACCTTGTGGAGGCGTGGCTTGGGCTCTGAGGCAACCCGACTGTCACATGATTCTGGTAAGACCTCCGGATCTTGATTCACTCATTCAGCCCATGTGTTTTTTTTTAACATTTCTTATGTGCCAGGCACTGTTCTAGACTCCAGAAATATGATAGTATAAAAAAACAGAGAACAATGCTAGTCTTCAAGAAGCTTTCATTTCTGTGTCCTTGACCCTGAAACAGGGTGTTCGGGATTACAGGTGAGCCACGAGCGCTCTTCAGACTCTGCGTCGCTCTCCGGTTTCTTTCCTGCCACCGTAAGCACAGTGTCGGGAGGACAACTCTAAGCAGCTTTGAGGACAGCATGGAGATTTCCTGTCCGCGGCTGATTCAGGCTCGCGATAACGTCTACACAGACATTAAAGACCAGCCAATCCTCTGGCAAGGGGCCCAGGCCCACTGACACCCCTGTCCGGGGCAGACGCCGTAGGAAATAGGGAAGGGGAGGCCCTGAGGGGGTGCCGAGGTGTGTTGGGGTCACCTGTGAGCCAGGAGTGGGGTCGGGACTCCTGTTAGTTGTCCCATGGCATTCTGCGTCAGGGTGACAGGCTGGGGCACACATACCATCGTTTCTACTTCACAGACGAGGAAACTGGGGCCCGGAGAAGTGAGGGCACTTGCCCGGCACAGCAGAAGCAGTGGGAAGTCTGCGGTGCTCTGTGGGGGGCGCCCCGTGATGGGCGCGGAGGTCCTGGGCCAGACTAGAGTCCCCGGCGAGGTCACTGACCGACTTTGGGACTCTGAGCAAGTCACCCACCCTCTGCATGAAGGTCAGTCCCTGACCTGGGAGGCTGTGTGGTTACAAAGATGTGCGGGAAGCACTTTCAGGAGAGAGAGGGAAGGAACAAAGCCCGGGAGAAGACAGACTCTTGCGGCAGGTGCGTGGAATGGGAAGGAGCGCTCTCAGGTCTGGTGCGAACCAGGCAGCTGGCCGCAGGAGAACCGCCCCTCCCCCCACTGAAGGCCCCAACCCCTTACCAGCTGAGTTGTGTCCCCTGGTGGATGAGGAGGCTCAACGTGCTGCACCCCAGCACCAGCAGCAGGATTTTCCTGCGGCTCATCATCTTCGTGGCCTGCTGCAGGCGCTGGAGGACGGTGGGCATGACGGGGCGCGCACCCCCGGGCTGGCCAGGGTCTCACTATCCGGGACGCCCTTCGCTGGCGCTCATGGGGGCTCCTGAGGCTCTGGCAGCAGGGCCAGGGTTCCTGCGAGGCCTGGCAGGAGAAGGAGGCGAACAGGTTTACCGTGGGCAGAGGCTGATGGGCGCCGAGCCCCAGCGGACTGCTGCAAAGGAGCGCTCCCCAGAGTGGGGCGAGCAGAGAGGCCAGGGAAGATCAGATTCCTGCCTCCCTTCACCAAGACCCTATCTCCGCGTTGCTCCAGATAACTCCGTCTTGGGTGGAATTACAGCCTCTGGGGTGTGGCCAGCCCTGCAGGCTACAGCCACGGCCTCCCCTGGGCCCCGTCTCCGCTTCTCCGCCTGCCCCTAATCAGTCTCTGTCTCCTCGCCGTCTGTGTCTGTCTCCCCGGCAGACTGGCCTTAGCACCGGGGCTTGGCTCGGAGCACAGAAGCCTCACCCCAGGGTCCCCCCTGCCCGAGGGCTCCTTACCTGATGGTCGCAGCCAAGGGTTGGTCTTGACGCCCCAGAAACTGAGCTCCTCAGAAATTGACCAAGCCTTCACCTTCTCAAATCTCTGACCGAGGGAAGGGTCCGTACTGCAGGCTACTGTGTGTGCTGCACTATCACCTACTCAGTCCTGCTCGGTCACCTAACCCCCAGCAGGCACTCCACTTTACAGACGAGGAAACTGAGGCTCTGACAGATGACGCCCCTTGTCTGGGCCTCACTGCTGGTGCCAGCGGAACCTGGAGTCAGGCCCGCTCTTTCTGGCTGCAGAGTCCATGCCCTCAGATGGGGGTGCTGCTCCCGCAGAGAGCTGGTTTCCGCAGCCCGCCCGGGCTCCGGCACTCCCGCACGCTTCTGAGCCCCCAGCCCTCCCAGCTGGGCTCCTGCCCTGAGGGGCCCTGAGGGCCCCAGACCAATACATCCTCGAGGGAAAGGAAGGAAGGACCTGAAATCCCGGAACCCTATCCGGATTCCACCCCCGGACACCCGAAACCCTGGCCACCCCGTGCGCTCGCTCTGTGATGAGGCAGCGAGATGGCCGCGTGGGAGGTGCACGGCGGTGCGGGGAGTGCAGAGGGGCTCCCGCTGGCTGTCCTGCTGAGAGTCTCCGGGAGAAGGTGGGCCTCCGTCCCCGGTGAGGGACGGCGTGAGGGGCCGAAGGGCCTGCTTCCCGGCCACTCACCTGTCCCCACACACGGATGCCTCGGCTCAAGGGCAGTGCAGCCCCTGGCAGTGCCTGTGGAAAGTCTGCTTTGGAAGCAGTGCCTGTCCCCTGGCCACAGGTGGGGTGTCTGCCCCAGGGCCCTCCGTGCCCAGATGCTGGTTCAGCTTCTGCCTCACCTACGCTGCTCTCCAAGGGGGGGGGGGCTGGGACCCGACGGGCACGTGCAGGTGCGGAACTAGGGCACCTGGGCCCCAGGAGGGGTGAGCTAATGTGGAAGCTCTCTGACCGTCCCCTCGCCTGGCAGCCCTGGCCTTGGCTTCCGGTCCCGCTCCTTCCCCCCCCTGCCCCCCCGCCCCCGACCCCAATTAATCCTGGATTACGTTTAAACCCGTTCGGGGGAAAGGTGTCTGGTCAGGCCTCGCCCCGCTCCCCGAGCCCCGTCTCCTGGTTTCTGCCAGCAGCTGGCAGACACACTTAACCCGTCTCTGGAGCCAAGGAGGGTGAAGCGTGCAACCACAGGGGGCAGCCGAGGGCCTGGCCGAGAAGGGAAGCCCAAGCCCGCTCACCCCGGGTCTTCCCCAGGACTGTGGGGGCCGGCGAGGGCCAGCCCTGCCTGCAGGAGGAGGGCAGAGCGCGTGGCCCCTCGGCATGCGGACCTTCTTCCCTTCGTTGCTGAGCCTGCCTAGGGGACTTGGTGACCGCACGGTCTCCCAGAGGCGCACAGTGGGGAGCCAGCCCGTTGCCATCTTTGCTGAACTCGCTGAGGCCACCCTAAGTTTTCAGAGGACGGTGGGTCAGCCGAAGGCCTCCAGCCTTGAGGAGCCCGCCGTGGAACTTCCTCAGGCCGGATGCTTCAACCAGGCCCCCCAGAAAGGGACGGCGGCCTGCCTGGTGGTCTTCTCCACCCCATTCCCCGTCGCCCAGGGAGACAGCCAGCCAGCCAGCCAGCCAGAGCCCCGCGTGGGGCTGCCCTGGAACAGGGAGGGCGTCATCACAAGAGTTCTCCGGGCACCGGTTTCCGCTTGGCCACCAGCAGTGACGGGCCACTCATCACCATCCGATACAGCCCGGCCCACTTCTCAGCAGCCCTGGCTGTCCACACGTTCTTTCTGGGACAGCTGGGAGCTTCAGCTTAGGCCCTGCCACCGTCCTTCCGCTCCGCACGGTTGCTCATGCCGCCCTCCTAGACCCCACGGACCCTCTTTCTCCACGACAGGCCTTCAGGTGTTTGAAAGCAGTAACCCTGTCTCCTCTGGGTGGGCACTGGGCCAGGGCAAACACTCCGGGTCCCGCAGAGGGTGCTGCTCAGACACCCGGACATCAGAGGCAGCCCTCCCTCCCTTGGCAAGTTCACCACGTGGTGCCTGATCTGGAGACGGAGTCAGGGCTCTGGCGCCCAGGAGGGGCCGAGTTCCCCCCTCTCATCGCCAGGCTGGGGTGAGGCGGGTCTGCTGGGGCCAGGCCCTGGCTCCTGCCCATCCTACGCTTCAAACTACTTCCCAGCTCCCCCCCATGCCTCCTCCGCGGGGAGCGGGGAGCGTGTCCCTCAGCCATCCCAGACGGGTCAGCGCGCCCAGCCTCATCAGAGAGTCAGTGCTAATTTTAGGCAGAACGCCCTACCTCAGGCTGCTGCCCGCTTTTTGCAAATTGCTTTTCTTTCTCCAGGGAACCAAAGAAGAAAGGGAAGAGCTAACCAGAGCTCTGCAAACTGGCCTGGACGCCCACCCACCCTCAGAGGAGCCCTTTTCTCTCCCTGCTCCAAGCTCTCAGGCTGATACTGGTGTGTGTAGAGGAAGAGGGCGCCCTGTCCTGGACCACCCAGCCCTGACGACCTGGCCGACCCTTGGCTGACCTGGAGACTCCATCCTCACCTGAGGACCGTGCAGCCCAGTGAACGGGGACATCGCCCCTGGCACTCGAGAGGAAGGGGCCAGAGGCTGAGAAGGCTGCAAATTAGTGTCCCAGGAGATCAAGTATCTTTCCACCCCCCGCCTCTCCTGCCCTCATCCCGGCCTGCACGCGGTCCCTCTAGCCCCCTTTCCCTGTCATCCTTCCCCACGTCATCCCCACCTGCACATTCCCTTCCTCTCTTCTCTCCATCACTGCCTACCTCCCCTCGCCCCAATTCCCTCCGTTTCATCACATCCTCCCCCAGGGATCTGTCATTGGGATCTGCTCACCCTAGGGGATAGGCCAGATTCGCTCCCTCACCCAGTCCTCTGTCACTCCCCAGGGGGCCCCAAGTCCTCCTCCTCAGGGTCTCCAGGCGCTGGGTCCCCAGGACACTCTCCCGCCCACCCATCGTCCTCATCCCGGTCCAGTCCCCCCTGCCCCCCAGCCGCAGGTTGACTACCGCAGTACTCACGCGAGGGCTCTGCCTCCGACCTGGGTGGCGGGTGGTCGCCGCTACCTCCCAACCCGTCTCCTGAGATCCGCTGCGGGGCCGCGGGTGCTGGGGCCCTGCGCACCAAGTACCCGTTGCTCGCCTCTCGGAGCCTGGATGGGATCAGGTGGCAGCGTCTGCTGGGCTTCGCTGCTCTCGACTCTGCCCGCTGCCCGCCCCCCATCGCACGCTGGAGGCGGGGCGGGGGCGGGGGCCAGCAGCAGCGCGGGGGAGAGGGAGGGGAAGGGAAGGGGGCAGCGCTGGCTCGCGGGCAGCTGAACAGTCTCCGGGAGGGCGGCATCTTCGGATGCGGTCATCTTCCCTGGCGATCTTGCTGAGTCCGGACACCAGCGTGGCCGGCTCCTTGCCCTCATCGTACAGAAGGGGAAACTGAGCCCCAGAAGGTGTCCGGATACGACAGCACTGCTGCACATCCCTGGATCCCACTGGTCGTTGTTGGACTGGTGGGTCCCCGGGGGAGTTAGAGGCACAAGTACATTTATCTATAAGCATGCGATGCTCCCTGCTTCCTCCCCTTCTCTTCCACCCCCACCCCTGGGTCTGGTCTCATTTGCCCTCACACCCCTGGGTACCTGTTCCCCTCCAGCCCGAGGGAGCCCCTTGCTGCTGACCCACTCCCACTCTTTACGAGGACCCCAGACCCACTTATTCCTGACCAGAGCCTTTGTGGGCCTGGGACCTCTTGCCCAGGCACTTCGCCTGGGCCTGGCTGCTTCCACAGTTCTGAGGCTGCAGCAGTGATGGATGTAAAGGCTCTGTGTGAGCTCGTGTGTGTGTGTGTGTGTGTGTGTGTGTGTGTGTGTGTGTGTGGCGGCGGCGGGGGAGGGGGAAGGTCTTCAGTTTTCTACTGCCCTCTTAGTTCTTAGCTCCCACCACCTGGGCGCTGGGCAGCAGCACCTCCCAGAGTCCCGCCAGACACCAGGAGCCCCACATTTAGTTCTGTGGTTCTCCCAGACCCCTGCTTTCTGTTGCCCTCTTGGCCTGGTGCAGCAAGGATCCTGGAGTTGCAGCAGCCACCCTGAAGCTGGCTCTGGAAGGGACTGGATTCATTCTAGACTTGCACAGATAGGTTTCGTGTGAGGACCCTAACTAAGGAGGAGAAGGGAAAGGGGATGCTCAGCAGCAGGATAACTGCTTGTGGTCTCTGTTTGGGTTTTCAGTCTTCCCCTCTGGACAGTGGGGGTCCTACCCTGCTTGGGTCCCAGAGCTCTTAGGACAACATGGGGCCCTGCTTGGGCTGTCACTTTCTGGCCTAAGCAATGCTACCTCCTCAGCCATCAGTCCTTAGTTCTCCTGCCTCGGAGACTCGCAGCCCCTTCCCTGCCGCATACACAGGCCTCGGGGCCTCTAGCCTCAGATGACCCGCCATTAGCTCTCCAGTTTCAGGGAGCAGAGAGACACTTCCTTTGTATCAGGACTGGTTCTGCTCGAGTGGCCTGACAAGCTGGAGGGGAGGGCAGCGCTGCTTTTCCTTGTCCCTGCTGGCTTTGGCTTCTCCTCAGGGAGTGTCAGGAGACTGGGATGGTGGTAGTGATCGAAGTGGGGAGGGTCAAGGTTCAGGCAGGAGCGAAGAGAATTTCCTAGCCAGTCCTTTACTCGGTCTCTCAAACCTCAGCTGCACTGGACCTGGCGGCCCATTCTTTCACTGCTGCCAGCGATTTCTCTGCTGGAGGCGGTGGGTGAAGTGGAGCATGCTAGAGATCTGAGGGGCGTGGGCGTTTGCGGGGGAATGAGACCATTTCACCTGAGTTTCCTGGTTGTTTCCCCCCATGCACACATACGCACACAGGTAGTGAGCCTGCCAGTCGGAGACAGAGCTAGCCTGGCAGAGGAACCTCGGAGCTCGAGGCAGGCGTGGGGAGAGAAACTGAATTGACTGGTCAGGATAGGGAGAGGTGAAGCCGGGCAGGCAAGGGCGCACCTGTCCATTTCTCTCCCAGGGACACGGGCCACTGGTGCGGGGTGGGGCAGGAGGCAGGGTCGACTTCCCAGGAGGCTCCTGGGGATGAGGGAAAAGTTCCTGAGTTTATTTTGGACATTTAAAAAGACACAAATCCTGTCGCTGGAAAGACTGTTTCATTTGCTTCCCCTCCAGTAATCATTTATGGAGCATTTCTTGAACGCCAGCAGGCCCCTTCTCACGTTCTTGGGGATAAAGGTGGGGAAGATGGGGCAAGAAAGACTTGAAAACAAATGGTGGAGGTTTGAACGTGTTATGGGAGCTCCATGCAAGGACAGGGACATGGGAGAAAACCTAACGAGACGACATTTCAGCCGGCCTGAATGTTGGGAAAAAAGGGCTTTAAGCGTGGCCCTCTCCCCCAGGTTGGTAGCTGGAGCTCAGCCCGGGGAGGTCCGCTCTTCTACCGGCTCTGATCCCATTTCAGCGCGTTCACCTGGGCTGGGGGTGGGCGGCAGACAATCACACAGTTTTATCACAGGTATGGGCTGCAACTTCCCGCTTTTTGGCGCCCTCAATGCCTGGCCGCCGGGGAGTGAGTCCTTAGGGGTCCTTGGGAACGTCAGCGTCCGGGCCTCTCTCGCTTGATTTGGGTGTCGAGCCGGGAGACAGCCGGCCGGCGAACCGGCAGATCAGACACTGAAAACAGCCCGGTTTGCTCCGGCCCCCAGCGTGCCCAGCGCAGTGGCCGGACGCCGTACTACAACTCCCAGAATGCTTCGTGGCGAGGCTGCCTAGAGACAATTGGAGAACAGCAGGGGGTGGGTCTCTATCCCAAAGGCCTTCCAACCCCGGAGGGGACGTGGCGGACGGCGCTGCCGGAAGTTCCGGGAAGTGGGCCCCCCAGTCCGGCCCGAGCTTCCGGTTTGGTCGCGCGCTTTGCTGTGGCTAAGATGGCGGCCGAGCATCTTGAGCCTCCCAAAGGAGAGTTGCAGCTGCCGCCGCCGCCGCCACCTGGGCACTATGGCGCCTGGGCTGCCCAGGAGCTTCAGGCCAAACTGGCAGAGATCGGAGCTCCAATCCAGGGTGAGGGGCCCTGGAGGTCAAGAGCGGGCAGCGCAGGCCTGCGGGGAAGCGGAGTCTGGTTACCCCGGAGACCCGGGGGCGGGTGGCGGAGGAGGGCTGCCGGGGCTTGACTAGGGCCGCCTGGCCTGCTCGGCCTGTGCTACGCGCTTAATCCTCTGCTTTGTCCAGCAGGGAGTCGCGAGGAGCTGGTGGAACGGCTGCAGAGCTACACCCGCCAGGTAAGAGTTGCCAGCAGGGTGTCGGGATAGGCCGAGCTTCTGCAGGAAGCCTTCATTCTTTGTGTACCTCCACACAGCAAGCGGGTCTTGCCCTTTTTGTCTGTTACTGCCTTTACATGCTCTATTGTAACCGCTTCTGTACACATACTGATTTCCCCCAGTGCTCAGCCGGAGCTCCGGCCGACAGGCACGGGGCAAATTTTGTGGCATGAGCGGGAGCGAACGTCGTTTAGTGGAACAGCATGTTCTTGGACTGACCAAGAGCCCTTTCTCTTCTGCAGACCGGCATCGTACTGAATCGGCCCGTTCTGAGAGGCGAAGATGGGGACAAGGCTGCTCCCCCTCCCATGTCAGCACAGGTAGGGAGATTGTTCCCCTTTACCACGCCCCTTCTGGTTAGGGTATCCTTTCCCACGGGTGGTGTACCGGGGATGCAAGTAGCTGATTGGGCAGGGACTTAACTGCAGTGACAGAGGTAGGAGCTCTTCAGTTCTCCCATGGTCCTATCCTGGCCTCCTTCCCCAGTGTCTTCTCCTCCAAATTCTACCGATCGGTTAAGATTCAGCTTAAGTATCTGGAAGCTTGACTTGATTCCCCCCTACGCAGCTGGATGTAATGATCATCTTTGTCCTGGGGCACAGTTCCTGTGTTATTCATTAAAACATTAGGGCTCACTTTCTGATTTGACTTCATACTACCTACATTTAGTGAGTTATTGGGGCATACTGCCTCCTGCTTATTTAAGTCCTTTCAAATTCCCTGTTCTTCATGATCCAGGATATGAGTCTGTTTCTCTGGAGTGGTGTTTCTGACCGGGGGCCCATTGACTTCTGTGTGTGGGGCAAGGAGTCCTCAGATGGCTTTTAGAGCTGTCCATGAGTCTCCTGACGTTGTATGCAAAATCTGTGCTCAAGATATTTTTCTGGAGAGAGTACCACTAGCTTTCTTTGGTTGGTGCCCCAGCGTTAACATCTGCTCTTGGTGTTGGTATGGAGCATCGTCTGAGTGCAAGAACTGTGCGTCATTTGACTTTGGATCCCGGCATCTGCGTGATAGTAGATCCCCAGCAAGCGTCCGCGGTAGATAAATGCTTCTGAGATTATGGTCATGTTTTCCCCACAGCTGTCTGGGATTCCCATGCCTCCGCCACCCATGGGACTGCCCCCTCTGCAGCCTCCTCCACCACCCCCACCACCTCCACCAGGCCTTGGCCTTGGCTTTCCTATGGCAGTTGGACCCCGCCCCCCCAACTTGGGGCCCCCGCCTCCTCTTCGCGGGGGTGAGCCTGTGGCACTGTCAGAGGAGGAGCGGCTGAAGCTGGCCCAGCAGCAGGCGGCGTTGTTGATGCAGCAGGAGGAGCGCGCCAAGCAGGTAGGGCAGCTGGCAGCCTGGCCTGGGGTGTGAAGGGGGAGTGGAGTCTTAGAGGTGGGTTTGGGGGCCAAGCCTTCTGGGAAGGTCTGGGTCAAAGACTAGGGCTTAGGCCCGAAGCTGGAAGGGGACCCCAGGAAGCAGAGCTGTAGTGGGCTGGCCTGGGGGCACCGGTGCTGGTGTGAGCTGGTTTTCCTTTTTAAGCAGGGAGATCACTCACTGAAGGAACATGAGCTCTTGGAGCAACAGAAGCGGGTAAGGCCCCTCATTTCCATCTTTGACCCCACGGCCTGGTTCCTTGGCTGTCACTTCTATAGCTTCGTGTCCCAAACAAGATGGGCCATGCCAGGTTACTTCGTCCTCGACGGAGTTTCAGCCAGCCTCTCCCAAATAATTTCATCTTTCTTGTAGCTGAGGCGCTGGTGAGCTGTGGACTGCAGCCTCTGTGTGTGCGTGTGTGTGCATGTGTTTGTTTGATTGGTATGAAATGCAAGCTAAGAGTGGTTTTCATATTACTGTAGGAAAAAAACCCACGAGTGTGTAAAAGGGTCTATACAGTGGCTTAAGTG